CATTGATGAAGCACTGGAGGGGATGCGTTTCACGGAGGTGCAGGATGATTATACTTCTAGGCACACGAGGTTGGTCTGCAAGCATGCCCTTCGCACTTGGGAAATGCAAGCTGAAAGTATCTACACTCATCGTACATTTGCTATCTTCAAGTCTGAACTAGAGAATGAGGCTTCTTATGTATTAGCGGAGAGAAGAACTGAATCAGATGGGACAGAGACATTCATACTGAAGAACTACATGAACCCAGATCGGATAAGGCGGTTAACATTTACTACGTCCAATCAAGATCTAAAATGCGAGTGTGCATTATTTGAATCTAAGGGGTTTCCATGCAGACACATGCTTACAGTAATAAAAAATATGGGGTACACCGCACTACCCTCGTCGTGGTTCAAGCTACGATGGACCCAAAATGCAAAGACACTAAATCGTCATCCTGGAGTTGGAGGTGATGTGGGAGAGAAAGTTGGTCGACTGATAAGACATGGAGGATTGGCTCTAAAGTGTAAGCGTTTATGTGACATCGCGTGTGGTAGTGAATCTGCTTTTAATCATGTCTCTAAGACGTTGGACGACCTTACTCAATGGGCAATTGAGTTCGCGAGGGAGAGAATGGACAACACCACACCAGCAAACCCTCCAGCACCCCTTCGAAGTGTGAAAGATCCAAAAATTGGGAAGACCAAGGGGACATTCAAGTCAGCACGAACTGCATCGGGTAAAAGTTTAAGAAAGTGTTCGAAATGTGGGAAATATGGTCATTTTCGCCCTAAGTGCCCGAAACAAAGTCCCAAAAAAGGATCTTAAATTTCTTCTATTGTTGTTTAGGAGTTTATTTATATTTTAATAACTGTGATTGCATTGTAATTTCTTCGAATTATCTTAATAATTTATGAGTTAATTGATTTTTGGTTGATTGGACGAAGATCGGGCGCGAGGCAAGTCAAAAAGAAAGCCACACGGCCGTGTGATGTTGCAATTTGGCCGTGTGGAATTATGAGAGGCCTCACACGGCCAGGCTGGGTGAGCTACACGGCCAGGCTGGCGGCAAATAGCAATAAAACGGTCGACCTCATACAAATAACGGTCGACCTGAACATACACGGTCGACCGAACATGTTAGTGAGGTCGACCGCGTATTTAATTCGGCCGACCAAACCGGTTTGTTTGCAACATCCACCCAAACCTCCCCCAATCCTCTATTTAAGAAACCCTCCCCCACTCATTCTACACCACAATCAGAACCCTATCCCACCACATCCACTCATTCTTCCTCTCCTTTCCCTTCTTCATCGTCTTCTCCATTTTCCAAAAACTCAAAGAAAGCTTCATCCTCATCACTTAGAAGAAGAACAAGGTATAACTTTCACTCCTCTCTTTCATTTGAGTCGATTCTTGTCTTCTTCTTTCTGTTTTCAAAAAATCTAAAGATGTGAAAGAGGGATTTTTCCTTCTGTTCGTCAGAAGCGGTCGACCTGTTCATCATCGTGGTCGACCGCGTCTGGCCTTAAATCGATTTTTATTTCTGTTTTACGGACTGAGGTCGACCTATGATGATATTGAGGTCGACCTGTGAAGTTCGAGTTGAGATTTCTGGCCTTATTATTTAGATCTGTAGCTTGAAAATATGGACTTTGTCCTTCTGTTCGCCAGATGTGGTCGACCTTTTCATAATCATGGTCAACCGCATCTGGCCTTAAAATCAATTTTTATTTCTGTTTTATGGACTGAGGTCGACCTATGATGATATTGAGGTCGACCTGTGAAGTTCGAGTTGAGATTTCTGCACTTATTATTCAAGCGATCTTATTTCTGTTTTTTTTTGTGCGAAACTAACACAGGTCGACCGCTTCTATTTATGCGGTCGACCGAATCTGTTTTGTACTCAATTGATACGAGCATTTGGGCCATTTATTTTCATTTTAATTTAGCCGAGGTCGACCTGTGATGCTTCTGAGGTCGACCTATGAAGGCAAAAGTTCGAGTTGTGCCTTTGTCTTTGATTTATTTGTGCAAAACTAACACTGGTCGACCTCTTCTATTTATGAGGTCGACCGAATTTGTTTTGCACTCAATTGATACGAGCATTTGGGCCATTTCTTTTCGTTTTAATTTAGCCGAGGTCGACCTGTGATGATTCTGAGGTCGACCTATGAAGGCAAAAGTTCGATTTATTTGTGCTAAACTTATTGAGGTCGACCTGTGATGATATTGAGGTCGACCTCGGGCCATTTAAATCGATTGAAAGGCAATTGTGACTTTCAGAAGCCGCGCAGTGCAGGAGATTAGGCCATCTTGCAATGCACTCGAAGACATAAACGATTGTGTCTTCGAGTGCATTACAAGGTGGTCTAATGTCCTGAACTGCACGGCTTTTGAAAGCACAATTGGCTTTCAATCGATTTAAATTTTCCGAGGTCGATTTATGTTTTTTCTGAGGTCGACCGGATCTGTTTTGCACTCAATTGGTACGAGGATTTGGCCCATTTTAGACTCGTTTCAATTTAGCCGAGGTTGACCTATGATGCTTCTGAGGTCGACCTATGAAGGCAAAAGTTGGAGTTGTGCAATTCTTTGAATTATTTGTGCGAAACTAACACTGGTCGACCTCTTCTAATTATGAGGTCGACCGGATCTGTTTTGCACTCAGTTGGTACGAGGATTTGGCCCATTTTAGACTCGTTTCAATTTAGCCGAGGTCGACCTATGATGCTTATGAGGTCGACCGATGAAGGCAAAAGTTTGAGTTGAGCAATTGTCTTTGAATTAATTGTGCGAAACTAACACTGGTCGACCTCTTCTAATTATGAGGTCGACCGGATCTGTTTTGCACTCAATTGGTACGAGGATTTGGGCCATTTTAGACTCGTTTCAATTTAGCCGAGGTCGACCTATGATGCTTCTGAGGTCGACCGATGAAGGCAAAAATTCGTGTATGTCGACCCATTCCCGTTTTAAATTAACTGAGGTCGACCTATGATTCTTCTGAGGTCGACCCATTCTCGTTTTAAACTAACTAAGGTCAACCGCTTTATGGAGCGGTCGAACGCGTATTGTTCATTTCGAAAAATGTGACTAACGTGTATTCTTGCTTGTTTGATCACAGGATGTTTGGCGGCAAAAAGAAAAGAAAGGCACAAAAAGCTGCTGCCTCAAGTTCGGAATGGGAAGAGTTCAATCCCAATCTGTTCCAGACCAAGGAGCAAAGTGAGAACTATGAAGAGAAGAGAATGCACAACCGCAGGGTGGCTCCGGGAAGGCCATTGACGACGGATGCGTATTCTCATTTCGAGAATTACGGGTTTCTGGGACCCTTCATCGAGCAAGAGTGGCTGAAGGTGATATCTCTCAATGTACCTTACTACCCAAAACTGGTACAGTACTTCTACAACAACATCGTCTACGAGCGCAATGCAAATGGATCCATTCACGCATTCAAATCCTATGTGAATGGGGTGGCGATGCGCATCAGCAAGAATGTGTTGGCGCAAGTACTTCAGGCTCCAAACGAGGGGAAGAGAATCAATTCTTACGGTGCTTGGAATGAAACGCATTTCACGAGAGCCAAGCAAATCCAGACGGTATGTGGTCTTGATGAAGAGGAAGATGCTCAGGGACGCAATAGGCCATCGAGTAACCACCTGACAGTTCAAGCCAGAGTTCTTCACCACATGCTTTCCTACAACCTTCTGCCAAAGGGTGGACATCGGGAGACAGTCACCTACTTCGACATGGAGCTCCTCACCAACCTACTGTTAAGCGAGAAGGTGAACTTGCCATACTTAATCTTTAACCACATGCTTACTGCTGCAGAGAGTTCAAACAGGAATCTTCCCTATGGGATGATCCTCACTGTGCTATTTGAGCATTTTAATGTGAATTTAAGTGAAGAGGTGGGGTTAAGAATCTCAAGGCATGAGTTCTATACTGTTTCATCTCTGAAAAAGATGGGCTTTGAGCTGCGTAATGGTGAGTATGTCAGAGTAAACAATGCTCATGGTGGTGATGATGATGATGATGATGATGAGGGTGATGAAGGAGCTCGAGACGAGCCAATGGGGGAGGCACAGAGTTCAACTCCACCGATCACCTTACAGCGTGTGTGGGAGCGCATGGATGGCATGTACGAGTACATGGGCCAGATGTCCACCCAGATGACTGGCATGCACGACTACATGGGGCAAATGACCGCCCAGATGAGCACAATGCAGGTGACCGTGAATGAGATGCGAGATGAGTGGCGATCTTTCAGCAGAAGATACATGCATCCCACCACATCCGACCACCATCATGCTAGCACCACCAATGAAGAAAATGTGGATGAGAGAGAGGGGGGAGATGAGTAGGAGAAATGAGTTTTTATATTGTGTGTTTTAGTGGTCAAAACGATTGTTGAGTGTTATTCTGTTGTTTTTTTAGTTTTATTTTTATGTGTGAACAATTATGATTTCTGTTTTATTTTTAGTTGTTATGCTATGAATTGATGAGTCCTTGTTATAATTATGACTAATTATGATGGTTTGAAACATAATTTATACGATCAAAAGAACCACACAAATCGACATACATAAGCAAAAAAGACACGGGGCATAGGGTGACTTTCTTGTATTCGGTCGACCGCGAAACCAACACTTGATCTTGATTTTACGTCAATTAATTGGACACTTTGATAGAACACTTATCTTCTATCTGGTCGACCTCTTTCATCATCCGGTCGACCATTTTGTTAATGACTGCAATCAAGTGGTCGACCTATATACCTTAGGTGGTCGACCATGTTGTTTCTGACGCCAACGAAATGGCCGACCCAGGTTTTATTCTGGTCGACCAAAAATATCAACTTAAACTAAGTGCGGTCGACTAGGTGGTCGTTGAGGTCGACCGCAATGCTTTCTCGTGCTGCCCAAATTAGTCGATTCGGTCGACCGCCTTCAGCAATAGGTCGACCGAAAAGTGCATGTCACCGTGACATGCATGTCATAGTAGGCATACCCTAACTCTTTTTTATCTCTATTCATTCATGTTTCCGCAAATTTAAGAGTATTTTTGATGGAGGGGTATTTTGGGTAAGAAAGCATGTGATCTCAGCCTAGGGATAAGTGGGTGCGATTTTTGAGGGGAGAAAGAAAAATCCAATAACTGCTCATTTGCCAATTTCCTCTTCTTCAACCTGTTTCCTCTCTCTCTCTCTCTCTCTCTCTCTCTTCACAATTTGACGATCAAGAGCCAATTTTCTGATCTCTGCCCACACCTCTCTCATCGTCGTAGCCGTCTTCAGCCTCCATCTCCTACGCTGACGTTGTCTGCAACAATCTCGCCTGCATATTCGCTCTCTGCATTGACCTTGCATGCATCGCCTTCGCCTCCGCCGCCTTCATCTGCATTATCGTCGATTGCATCGGACTCGTCTGTGGTGCCTTCGCCTCTGCCGCCCTCACCAACGTTGTCGATCTGCATCAGCCTCGCTTGCATCATCTCCACTATGGGTGAATTGAAGTTCGGTTTTGGAGGCTTCAAATGGGTTATAATTTCATATCTAGTATATGTCTCGCCTTTTGTTTGGTAAGATTTAGAGTGGTAGTGATTATCAAAGACTAGCAGTGTTTCATCAGACTTAGTAGCGTTTATTAGCTCTAGTGTAGTAGTGTTTTGTAATTTTGGGAATGAAACATTTACTTGGTGTTCTCTAGTTTTATAGGGGCAGTGTTTTCAGATCTACAGTGGTAGTGTTTTTTTATTGTTTGGGCATTATTTTGGTAGTATTCTCCAATTTTTGCAAGACTTAGTAGTGCTTTTTCAGATCTATCAGTAGTGATTCTGCAAGTAGTAGAGTTTTGTAATTTTTGGGAAATGAAACTTTTAAGTGGTGTTCTTTATTTTGGTACGTTGTAGCAGTGTTCTTTAAATCTATGGTGGTAGTGTTTTCTATTTCGTTGTGGTTCTGCAAATATTATTCGTAGTGATTCCGCAAATAGTATTACATATTAGTAGTGATCCAAATAAAAATATGGAGAATAAAACTCCCCCAGAATAAAAATACAAACCGTCTAGTAAAGGGATCCCACAAAATCCGGCCTCTATGAAGAATAACAGAAGAATTTAATTCGAAATTTAATATATTTTTGTTGCTATCCCTATTGTACCCTTTCTTTCATTATATTATTTTAAATTAAAATAATAGTGGATGGTTTAGATATCAGTTAGGATGGTGCTAACCCCATAGGGAGTTAGCACCCTAGCTTCTCCTGTAAACAATTCATTTCTCATATTTTTTTGGGTTGGTCGTGAGACCCATCCACTTAAGCAGTGCCTGAAATATCAAGTGGCATGTAGTATATGCGTTTCGGACTTTGCGTATTGAGTGTTGTTCAACTATTTTAACTTCCAATATTAAATAAAAACAATATGATGAAATGAGTTGGTGACAATTTCTGAACGGTGCGGCCTGTCCGGATTTGTCTTCATGGTATTATTCGATTTGTAGTAGTGTGAGGCAGGGTATGAATAGTACTTTTGTTTCGTCCCGCCTCGCCCGATCTCCCCATTCTTGACCTATTTTATTTTAATTTGGGTCAATATTTATTTGTATTTCTCTTTTTTTTTACTTTTCTTAAATCATATTTTCACTCACTCCTAAAACTTTGATTAACTGAAAGACTCCAATTTTCAACTAATAATTAGACTCAAATATTAAGTCTATTATTTCTCTTTTTCATTGATTCATCGTTTTCCCTTTATTTTCTTGTGAAATAATGAAATTTTTAGCCATTTTTCTTTAAATAACATGTAATATAAAACAGGTCGGCATGTTCCGCCTCAAACCCACACGAATATCACCCAATCCGATTTGCACTTAATATGAGGCGGATAAAAATATCGAGATACCTGGCCCACCTATTGCCATCATCACGACCGACTATAGCAAAGGCACCATGTCTATCTATACCAGGGGCGGAGCTACACTCAAGGTAGGGTGGGCCCCGGCTCTCCCGGAAATTAAAGGTCCCGACCCCTGGGATCGATTCACCTTAGCTACATTTATTTTGTTTAATTATTTTCGGCCCCCGGTCTCGAAACCTGGCTACACCCCTGATCTATACCATCATACAAGAGACTTACCTTGTGATAGCAGCAACTAAGGTTGGTACCACGAAACTAAACTAGTGCAGACGTCGCCGGCCGGCGTCCAATGTACGACTAACCGGGACGTTATCGTGCTTAATTATTGGGATTTCATGTCTATGTTTCCCAATTTCCTGTTATTTGTTTTTCTATCTAGTTAAGCTTGACTGTTTGACTGGTCTCCGGTCATGATTGAATGGGCTGCAGATTCTTCATTCCTTAGTTAAGGCACAAAACGCCCCATGAATCAAACAAATGCATATAAGAGAGTAGTGATGGTTTCCATGCATATATGGTTCACGATTTGACCCTTTCAAAGTATACTATTGTAAATAAGTTGTTAAATACCATGAAACTCTCCCAACAACTCGAATTATTAGGATAATTTGGTTTTTGATATGGTTTTTGATATAGTATTAAAGTTGATTTGTTATTGATGTCACGTTTTCAAGTCCTCACGAACTCAATATTAATCATCATTGTATTAAAGTTCATGTTATAGTTGGGTCTGTACAAAATTCAAGCCAATCAGTTGGCTTTCGTTTAAAGGGGCATGTAAATAAATGGTTAAATACCATATATGGATCCCTCTCAACAATTTGAGTTATTTGTACCAATTAGTTTATTGGAATTAGCGTTAGCTTATTGAGAGGGTAACATCTATAAATAGAAGATTAAGCTTCATTCTTTCTTCACCCAACCAATACACACACCAATAACCAATAGTTTCCCCCAACCCAAGCCATTCCAAAAAATGGGCACCATTTGGCCTCGCAACTTGATCATGTGCCTTTTGGCTCTACTAGTCGCCAATGTCGCCGGAGATGGTCATCATCACCTTGATGGATACACACCTCCAGCTCCTTATACACACAAATCATGGCCGCCTCCTCCACATGCTTATTATTATAAGTCTCCCCCGCCGCCATCGCCACACTGGTCGGTGCCGTCACCACCACCGCATTCTTCTCACCATGCCGATAAGTTTGACTCTCACGACGACACATACTCGCCTTCTTCTGATCATGCATCTAGCCAGAACCATGGAAAGCCTTCACCGTCTTCTCGAGCCCACAAGCACCCTCACAAGTCTCCTCCACCGCCGCCTCATCATGGCAAGAAGGATCCTTCTCCGGTCAAAAAACCTCATCACAAGTCTCCTCCGCCACCGCCTCATCATGTCAAGAAGGATTCTATGGCGCCGTCGCATCCTGCCCGCAAATCTCCTCCACCACCGCATCATGGCAAGAAGGATCCTCCTCGTACCCACAAACCTCATCGCAAATCTCCACCGCCACCTCACAAACGCAAATCACCACCAACGCATCACTGAAGAATATAATCCACGTCTATGTCACAGTTTATGGACTTCTTCAACGGGTTACTCGTCACTGACTATGGATGACGAGGAAGATCCTGAAGAATAGTATTTTAGAATGAAGAATAATTAAATGTATCGACCAAGTAAGATTGGTATACGTACTAGTAGCTAGTAGTTTACCTTTTGTTGGTTTCTTGCTTTCTGGTTGATCTCTTCGGAATTTCATAGTTAGATCGTCGTCTAGCAGATGATATTTACCATGATTTCAACATTGTACCTTTTTCCCACTTTATTTGAGTTTTGGTTTCCTTAATACAATTACTATCATTACTAGTAGCTTTCTTTTTTTATTTATCTTCCTCTTTCTGAATATTATCATGCTATATACGATAATATGGAATTTTGAGGTTGCTTAATGTTGATTGTTGAAGGAGCATGACAAAAAGGAATGATGCAAAAAAAAAAAAAACGTATGTAACGAGTTAAATGTAACAGTTAATTCAGAAAGTAATAGTTGGGTTTCCATTTATTCTAAGTGACAAAGTACACGGACTTTGGTGATCGTCGATTTATAAATCATAATGATTAATTATCATGTGGTTAGCAACCATTCGGGGTTGGTTGATTAGAAAATCATGAAGTTAATTAGCTAGAAATATTCATTTGCGATAGTTAATCCCACCTTCCACTGTGATAACCAAATTGAAACGGTTAAGGATCCATAATGGTTTGATTACGATTTGAAGAAATCAAATACACTGTAAAGTGCGAACAAGAGTTTAGTCTAGTGGTAATACCACTAGTTATGAATCTGCTGGTCTCAGATTTCAATCTATTAAGTAGATCATAAACACAAAAAGTAAACATATATCACCCTTATAAAATAACGTTGCAAAAAGTACCAGATCACATCCAAGTTGTACGTGTACATCAGTGTGTCTGGCCAGACAGCAAGCAGTTGGTTTTTAACTGAATATTAATGATTTGTTAGTGATTTTTTCATTTTTATTAATCGAATCGAAATTCGAATATGAAGCCATCAGTTTTTAATCATTAAGATAAACCATTAAAGGTTTTTTATGGTTCATTTTTGTATTTTTTTTATCTAATCAAACAACCAAATCAGTTTTAGAAGCACTAGCTAACTACTTTTTATAATTTGAAATTCATACAAATTAAGTCAGTCATGTCAGGTATTTAATCGATCAACTCTCAATATTAATAGGGTTGACGAGATTCATAAAACTAGACCTTTAGATTATAACTAGCTTTTAATACCATGTGGTGAAAACCAATTAATACCCAATAGCTCACTCGAATTGAGAGAATTAAGTTCTATACCAGTCTTCTGCGCCAATATTCCATTTACATATCAGATAGCCCCATCATTAATAAACTATGTTTTTTCCCCCAATCGAATCAATATATTCTAGTACACATTTTACTTACTCTCTCGAATCATATGACTAATTAAGCCCCCTAATCTTGACCCTTTGTACGTAAGAATGGCATCTCCAAACCACAATAAACAAAAACAAACAATAGAGCACGTTTCTGGTCTCACTAAAATAAATCTGTTACAGCACGTGCAACTATTGTTGTCGGCGTAGGCGCCCTATTTTGACTAAGAATACATCAAAATAACTAACTAGCAACTAGGGGTGGCAGTCGGTCGGTTGCGGTTTAATCGAAAATCGAAAACCCGATTATCGGTTAAACCGAGTCACCCCCTATAACTGCCGACCACCGACCGAAGAGAGGTCACGGTTAGCCGGCCAACCGATCGATCGATTCCAGTTTTAGGCTCGGTTCGCGGGGCGACGAGCTGCTGGAGTGCTGGTTTTGGCGGCGGCGCGGCGGGGGCGACGAGCTGCTGTTGGAGGCGGCGAGGTGAAGGGGGAAGGGGAAGGTCGACTGCGAGGGTGGAGGGAGGAAGGGGAAGGGGGCGACGAGCTGCTGTTGGAGGCGGCGAGGTGAAGGGGGAAGGGGAAGGTCGACTGCGAGGGTGGAGGGAGGACGGGGTCGGGGATGGTCGGAGGCGGCGAGATGGGAGAAGGGGAAGGTCGTCTGCGAGGGTGGAGGGAGGAAGGGGAAGGGGAAGGAGAAGGGGAAGGGGAAGGCTGCGAGGGTTGAGGGAGGATCAGATTTGTGGAGCTAGGGTTATTGCAAGTGCGGCGTCGTTTTGGGGGAGGGGGGTCGGTTAGCCGGTTAAACGCCGGTTTCCGACCCCGGTTAGTCGGCTAGCTGAACCCCTACCCTTCCCCACCGTCAACCGACCGTTGTCATTGGAGTCGATTTTTCGGTTAGCCAAAAACCGGTCGATTTCGGTTGACACTGTCCGGTTAACTGCTAACCGGAAAACCGTCCGCCACCCCTACTAGCAACAACCTATATATGACCCCTTTCTAGTTTCTTCCATGCATTATGTCGTATCGCATCTCTTATCTATGATGTCGAAGAAGATCTCGGAAGCAGATAATGGTGGTGTTCGTCAGCCGGAGAGCAGCAGCTGGGATTCAGATCTGCAATTTCTTGATTCCATTCAACACTTCCTCCTCTCCGGCGGCAGTACAGATCATCAGTCCTCACTGGACGAGACTTGGACGCCCGTACAAACCAACTCTTCCTTATCCATCGGCGCCAGCAGCAGCATCATCATTGCAGCCGATCTACTCCTGCCGGGGGCTGCGGCGGTATCTGATGATCTTCGATATCCATTCCCCTCCACGACGGCGGCGGCGGTGGCAGAGTTGGAGGAGATAGGCAGCCACGTGGCATCATCTTCGGGTACTGGTTTGAGCGATGAGGCCGGGGAGAAGAAGAAGAAGAAGAAGGGAGGTGGTGGAGGTTGGCGGTATAAGGGAGTGAGGAGGCGGCCGTGGGGGAAGTACGCGGCGGAGATTCGGGACCCGAAGAGGAACGGAGCGAGGACGTGGCTGGGGACGTACGAGACTCCACAGGATGCTGCTCTGGCCTACGACCGAGCCGCTTTCCAGATGAGGGGAGCCAAGGCGAAGCTCAACTTCCCTCACCTGCTCAGCTCCGGTAACCCTTCCCCGCCGCCGCCGGTATGAGCCCATTGGCGTTGTTTGTAATTTGGTATCGGCCTTGAGCTTTATCGGAACTTTTTTTCATTTTGTTTCATTATGTAATTATAGGCTCCATCCAATAAGGCAGTTTGGTTGGTGTCACATGGCACCGTACACAATTTGGCGTTTGGATCAAAACACCATCATGTAAACAATTCAGAGTTTTGGATGATGCTATCTCATGTCACTGGTCATTATCATCACTTATTTGACCAGTTTTGGTTAAGCTCGATGATGAGAGGTTTCTTTTGGTGTGAATTTGCTATTTTCCTATGAAATCTCTTATTCCGCATTTTCATCGCATTACGTCATATCTTTTTCGGATTATTTCTTCCATTTGCGAACGTACCACATCATTCAACGTTCTTTGTTGGGTTACAAGTAGGGATGGCAACTTTGTCCATACTCATGGGTTTCTTATTATCCAACCCAATTGGGTTGGGTATAAAATCCAAATAGATGGATATGAGTAGAGTTTAATGGGTTTGTACCCATACTCATTTACTTTGGGTTGAGTTGGGTTTATATCAAATGGATTTGGGTTTGTACCCATGCCCAAATACAAATTACAGTTTGGTACCCAAACTTAATAGACATGCATATTTAGTACCTAAATTTAATTTTTATTGCATATAAGTCCTCAAGATATCGATAGAAAATTACGTTTTGGTACCTAAAATTTTTTTGTCTTACATTTTGGTACCTAAACTTTTCAAGTTTTGCAAATAGGTCCAATTTTTGCATGTGTAGTTAAAACACCCTCAAGTAAATGGATATCCATATCCAACTCATACCCATTTAGATTATGAAAGCCCCAAACCCAAACCCATCTATAAACCCCCAAATCCATATGCACTTCACCCATACCCAACCCATTATCAATGAGTCTACTTGGGTTTGCGTATAATTACCCATGGGTGGGTAATTTGCCATCCCTAGTTACAAGTCTCACAATTTCATAGGTTACGACGAGGAATAGTAATTTTAGGATGATTTTTAGCAATTCAGATTAAATTAATCTATGGAATTGTTTTTCACCCTAGTTTTTACCCATACGAAATTGTTTGTCTGTTACGCAAATACTATTCCATACACTCCACTAGGGCTGCAAATGAGCCGAGCTGTTCGCGAGCGGCTCGACGTTCGACTCGGGAAAAGCTCGTTCGAAACTCGGCTCGTTTACTAATGAGCCGAGCTTGAGCTTAGCCTTCTGCAACTCGTGGAGCTCGCGAGCTAGCTCAACTCGGTGGCTTGTTGAGCTTAACTCGTGAGCTGGCTCGTTAAGAGCTCATGAGATGTCTCAACTCTCAAGATTGTGGCTAGAGAGCCAACTCGATTATCGAGTTATGAGCGAATCGATCTATACGAGTTTGATTTTGATAATTCATAGGATTGCTAAATTATATATCTCACTCTATATGAAGTTTAACATGTAGATTATGTGAGCAAATATGTTTTATTTAATTTTAAAAAGCAATTATGTATCATAGATTGCTTCGATACTCTGGAATAACATAATTTTCACAAATTAAAATTTATTAACGAAATAATTTGATACCGCAAAGTATAACATAAAATTAGTTAATATTGAACACTTAACTATTATTATTATTTTCTTCATCTTGGCATTAATCACATGTATTACATACAAAACGATATTAACATCAGAAATTTGATCGGCGCCGGAGTTTGAGTTTCTCTTGAGAGCGGATCCAATGACTAAGTGGGGGGTGCTTAGTCACTTGACTAAGCCCCTCCCAGCCCTTAGATCTGGATATAGCAATCTGATGGTTAAAAAGTGGGAAGGGCTATTTAATTAATGACAGGGGTAGTTTGGGTATTATGGAAAATTACAAAGTATACAAACCGGACATACAAGCAGTACAAACCATACAAACATACGAACAGTACAAACTAGAGAGACAAAACATACAAACAGATTTACAAACATTACAAACATATGAACTGTACAAAAAATACAAACTAGACCGACAAACAATACAAACCATACAAAAAGAAAAAACAACCAGGTTGACTTTGGAGGCTCCATCCCTATATAGAGGGGCTCCTTCCTAAAGTCAACCCGAGTGTTTTTTAGACATACAAACATGGTGGACAAAAATGACAAACTAGACCAAAAATTCATACAAACTGGAAAAACACCCGGGTTGACTTTGGAGGCTTCATCCCTTTATAGAGGGGCTCCTTCCCAAAGTCAACCCGGGTGTTTTTTTAGACATACAAACATTACGAACATGGTGGACAAAAATGACAAACTAGACCGAAAATTCATACAAACTAGAAAAACACCCGGGTTGACTTTGGAGGCTTCATCCCTATATAGAGGAGTTCCATCCAAAAGTCAACCAGGTTGTTTTTTAGACATAAAAAACATTACAAACATGGTTGACAAAAATGATAAACATGGTGCACAAAAATAACAAAGCTTACAAACATTACAAAAGAAACCCACAAACATTACAAAATAACAAAGTTTACGAACATTACAAAATAAACAGACAAATATTACAAAGCATACTAACCGTACAAAATGTCACTAAAAATGACAAACAAGAATGATAAACAATACAAACCGAATCGATACAAACATTACAAAATAGATCAACAAACATCACAAATCTAGCAGTGTCGCCGGAAAATCCTTCTCCGTCGTTGCTGATCACCGGAAAAATCTCCTCCGGTCGCCGGAAAAATTTCCTCCGCCGGCAAAAAATCTCTCTCTCTCTCTCTCTCTCTCTGGACGCACCAAAATGGTGGCCTCATCTCTATTCTTTGAGACACGCACATTCCCATGAGATGCACAAAAATGGTGGCGGCGGAAAATCTCAACGGCCGACGTATATTCCACATTAGATTAGGGCATGAGGGAGGAGATGGATAACTCGGAGAACCCTACTGCAATGCAATCTCTTCTGTATTCTTTTTGGCAATTGTCCATGGTGCATCTGCCAAGTTAGTTCCTAAACGACTGAAATTCCTACGCTTCACAACTATACACTGAAATTCCTGCGCTTTACCGTTCCGCTACTAAAAATGCAGCACCAGTGTCGCTGCTTTTCATTGGTCCAAGTGGAAGTGACGAGGCACCGATTTTGTTTAATAAATCACAACCAAACCTCCAGCGGCCCATTAAAACTGGCCCACACGGCCTATCCCAAAGTAACGGACAAAATGGTTCTCCGTCCATTGTCCAAAGATCTGTAAGTGCTTTTTTATTGGTTAAACTGATGGAAATGCTATTTCGGAGAATTAGAGAAGAAAAACATAGGTAGATCAAAAAAAGAACAAAAAGCACACTTCCTCGATCTCCCTCGGCGACGGCTTCTGCCAAATCACTCTTGGCCACTTATCCGTCGTCGACCCATCTTCAAGAGAGCAAGGGAGAGTGAGGAATTGACGAGGAAGGAGCTTCAACAAACGAGGTCTTCCAAGCTGTCAAGGAAATGGGACCGATGAAGGCTCCATGGAAGGACGGTTTGAACCCATTATTCTACCAGAAATGTTGGGAATTGGTGGGCCCAGATATGATACAGTTTGCGAGGAGTTGTTGGGAGGATCCAACGAGGGTTGATGCGGTGAATGATACGATTTTGGTGCTCATACCCAAGGTTCCAAAGCCCTCGATCATAGAGTAGTTCCAGCCTATAAGTCTATGCAATGTATCTTACAAAATCATTAAGAAATGTCTGGCGGAGAAGCTCCCTCATGCCTCTCTTGGTGGATGAGACACAAACAAGTTTCGTCCCGGGGAGACACTTAACTTACAATATATGTATTTGCAGGAATTTGTTCATTCCATTAGAGTAAAGAAGGGTAAGACTGGATGGATGGTTCTGAAGATCGATCTAGACAAAGCCTATGAGTGGATCCGATGGAACTTTGTGAATGATACCTTGAAGACTTCGGGTGTGCCGGATGAGTTCCGCAGGCTTGCTATGCGGTGTATCTCCTCAGCAAAGATGCAAGTGTAGTGGAACGATGGCCTGACTGAGGATTTCTTACCCACTCAAGGACTACGCCAGGGGTGCCCCCTCTCGCCATACATCTTCACTCTCTTCATTGAACGGCTGGGTCATCTCATTCGAGACTCGGTGGAGAGTAAGACCTGGAAGCCTATTCGGCTCTCTCAGCGGGGGGCCAGCTCTGTCACATCTATTCTTTGCTGCCGATCTCTTGATGGGCGAGGCGACATCGGATCAGGTGGATGCTATACAGGGTTTTCTTGAGAAGTTTGAAGTTGCTTCAGGGCAACAAGTTAGCCGCCCAAAGTCACGGGTCTTCTTCACAAGTAATGTCACAACTAATCAGGCTACTCTAATCAGTATGGCGCTCGGGATACAGGAAACGAAGAACTTGGGCAGATATTTGGGAGTCTCAGTGATAAACGACAGGGTCTCAAAGGCAACTTATATAACAGTGATTGACAGAATAGATGCTCGGTTATCATGTTGGAAGGTGAAGTCTCTTAGTCTAGCGGCCAGAATCACTCTCGCCCAATCAATTATGTCGTCGCTGTCAGCATATACTATGCAGACTTCCTTCCTACCGGCAAACGTCAGACACTACATTGATAAGAAGATCAGGGCGTTCGTGTGGGGTAGCTCGGAATTGGGAAGAAAGATACACCTTGTAGACTGGAAAACAATCTGCAGACCGAAAAAAGAAGGTGGACTTAGTCTTGAAAGTTCTATAAGAATGAACGAGTCGTTCATGTTGAAAATTGTCTGACGACTGCTAGCGGAGCCAGAGAGCCTGTGGGCACAAGTAATTAGAGCCAAATAACTACGTAAGGTGGAGAATAGCTGGCAGCCAATAACGATAGGAAGGCTCTCAAATTTGTGGCGGGGGGGTTCTCCGAGCTATCCATCTCCTACATGATGCCCTAATCTAATATGGAACATACGTAGGGGAACAACTACTCCGTTTTGGGAGGACCGATGGTTGCATGATGGTCCGGCGCTTGCTGAGCTTGCAATTAACTTGCCATTGGAGGCGAGGTCGCCAACGGTTGCTGGCTTGATCCTTAATTGCGAGTGGAACATAGCCTACCTACAAGCGTTCCTACCGCCGAGCATAG